TGGAAAGGTTTCAATTACACCATGTTGGTGCCTCAGTCAGTTTTGTTCTGAGCTGTTTGCTTGGGCCTTTCTCACTCTTGAACATTTTCCACCTGTCCACCTCACAGTGAAAGCTATTGTTTGTCTGAGATGTGTGGCTTCCTCTTTCATCCCATTGGATTTCAACCTTCCTCCGTTTGTCTTCAAAGTTGCCTATTCCTATGCGCTGTCCCAGCTTTCATCTATGCAAATGCTGCTTTCCAACTTTGTGTCATCAGCAGATTTCATTAACACACTTGCTTTTTGTGCCAAGGTCATTAATAAAAGTAGTTAATAAGATCAGTCTCCTGACCATTCCTTGAGGAGCTCTGCTGGTGACCTCCCTCTGTTCTGACCCTTCTTTCAACACTGCTTCTCCTCTCACCAGTTTCTGGGCCTTGCACTTCTGCTAATCCCCATCTTTTTCATTTAGGAGTTTCCCACATGGCAGTCCATCACAAGCTGTGCTGAAGTCTGCGGGGATGGGATCTATCACGCTTCCTTTGTCTAGAAAATTCATTATCTTCTCAGGCTAACCTGATTAGCTCTGTTTGGTCTGATTTGCCTTTGGGACAGTCCCATTGTTTTCCACCCTGTTTAACATTTAGTTTCATGTTCTAATTAGTCTTTCTCCATTTCGCTGTGGAGCCTCCGTCCTGCTGGGGCTAGTCAATAGGCTCGTGGTTGCTCACATGCCTTTTTCCCTTCCATGGCATGGTTCTGCAGGTGCAGCGGTTCCTCTCTAGGGCTGGACAGGCAGCTGCAGCTCAGTCCACCTGGTTTTGGCATACATACCCCAGACAACATTGAGTTTAAAGGGAAAGACTGGAGGCCTGGGTGCATCAGTCCTCCTGGCTTCAATCACCACCTTGCTTCATTTAATGACAGTTCGCTTTGTGGCACTGACACCCTCCAGAACATCTGCAGCCTTCTCCATCCTCCAGCCAAGACCTGGGCTGGCAGATTCAACCCAAGTCTGGGTCTTCTGCATGTGGGCCACCTCTTCCTATGTGCCTTTTTCTGGCTGTGGTGATCCCCATGGTATCTCTGTACCTCACTTTTGCAGGTAGAAACACAAGTGAAATGGTTCACTTAAGGCTGCACAGCAAGCCCAGGCCCCTCCCATGTGCTGGGCTGCACCCCCAGAGCGTGAGCAGCAGCTCAGGGAGGGGATCCTGCCCCTCTGCTGTGCTCTGGGGAGACCCCCCTACAGCCCTGATCCAGCTCTGGGGCAGCAGCACAAGAGGGACGTGGAGCTGTTGGAGCGAGGCCAGAGGAGGCCATGGAGATGCTGCAAGGGCTGGAGCAGCTCTGCTCTGGAGCCAGGCTGAGAGAGCTGGGCTGGGGCAGCCTGGAGAGGAGAAGGCTCCTGAAGGGGAGACCTGAGAGCAGCTCCAGTGCCTAAAGGGGCAGGAAACCTGGAGAGGGGCTTTGGACAAGGGATGTAGGGACAGGCCAAGGGGAATGGCTTTAACCTGCCAGAGGGGAGACTGAGCTGAGCTCTTAGGCAGAAGCTCTTCCCTGTGAGGGTGCTGAGGCGCTGGCACAGGGTGCCCAGAGAAGCTGTGGCTGCCCCATCCCTGGCAGTGTTCAAGGCCAGGTTGGACACAGGGGCTTGGAGCAAGCTGCTCCAGTGGAAGGTGTCCCTGCCCGTGGCTTTAAGGTCGCTTCAACCCAAACCAGTCTGGGATTGTCTAAGAAATACAGTATAAATAAGGGATGAAGTGCAATCACAAACTGATCAGTGTAAAATGAGGTGGGGAAAATCTCCTTGCTGCACTACTCTGCTCAGGGATTTGCTTTTCAAGTGGCAGCGTCGACATGTGAGAATCGGAGTTGCAGAGGAAGCAGCAATTCAGTAGCTGAGCCCTAAGTTTATGGACACCCCAAAGGATGGCGGCGGGGGCTGGAGAGTGGTGTTTCTGGGACAGGAATTGGGCATGGTTTCAAGTCCAAAGCTGTGAAATGGCATCAATCCCTGTTAGGAGCCAGGGTAAGGGGAGAGGGAGAGCAGAGAGAGCAAAAGGCAGTCGACATCTTCTTAATTACATTTGCATATGCAGCTGTTCAAACAAACTGAGCTTCATCAGTGCTTGTTCATACCTATCAGGAGACTTAGAGCTGCTGTCATCCCATGTAGCAGGAATGTACAAATCTGGTGGTAAAATAAGCCCCTGGGTATCCCCTCACCCAGGCTGTCCATCACGCCAAAAGGGCAAGCAATTGGTTGCAGTTGGATATTGAAAAAAGTGGGAATTGTGTGCGATATCCACGGGTGAGTGCTTCCAGCTTAGTTTCCAAGGATACTATTGCAGAATTAAATCATTAATTTATATTTCTGAAAATGGTGCTGAAATGTGTTAATTTGTACATTACCAAAGAGGCTCAAACTTGTCTCCTTCTGCCTTTTCTTTCCTAACATGCTCAGTGACAAAATAATTGCTCTGGAGTTGAAGCAGTTGAAACAACGGTGTTCCAGCTTGGGAATTCTGTACCACATTAAAGAGAGAGAAATTATCTGGGTTAACTGTTTGTATTAATTCTCACAACTTTGAAATTCTACCTTAATCTTTGGCTCCCAAATCCCCAAGTGAGCCGTTTCTTCCCTCTCTTGCTCTTGTTATACTAAATCCACCCCAACCAGGGATGCTGTTCTGAGCACAACGCTGCTGCAGACAGTGCTCGGGTGGAGAGAGGGTCCAGCATCTGGAATCCTGCTTCACAGGCCCCAGGCACTTGAGGGACACAACAATACATGGAGGATGTGGTCAATGGAGAAATTAGTTTGCTAGTGGTTATGCTGTCTCTTCAGGGCTTTCCGAGATGCATAGAGAGTGTTGATCCCACCAGAACTTGGGGATATAAATCATTAAGAGCTGTAAGCCCAAATCTTTCTTGTTTTGCAAAAATACAGCAGGATTCCTGCAATTGTGCTCACTCTGACTGGAGGAAAACTGTCCTGGAGCAAATGGGAAGAGCCGAAACACACACCTGCCCTCGGGGCAGTCACTGGTATTTACCTGAGGTGAAAACCAGCTGCTCAGGCTGTGTTGGTCTTGAGGCACTCAAATGGCAGGAGCTGCACTTCCAGCAGGAATGTTAATAAAACCATGGTGCACATGGATCCATGGTTTTGCGTTGGGAAAGCACACGGAGCCGTGCATTGGGTAGAACCACCCAGAGGTGTCTGCGAGAGCCGCTGTGCCTGCTGAGCGTTGCTGTTCCAGCTCTGTGCTGGGAGCTGTGGGAAGAGGCTCGGCCTGGTGCTGGGGCCCTGGGGCTTGGATGGGAAAAGCCCCACAGAGGTTTCCAGAAGCAGCAGCAAGGAGCTGGGCTGCGGGTGCTGCGGGTGCTGCTTCACACAGTGCGTGCTGCACTGCTCTGCCGCCTGCCCTGCTGGGACTCCTGCTTGTGTCCCCCGTGTGAGCTGCGGAGCAGAGGGAGTTTCCCACTGGATCAGTCCACAGGAGAAGCTTGTGCTGTGGCTGTGGGATCACCAGACCCGATGCAGAGGAGGGCGGTGGGTAAAATGGGATCATCCCCTTTGATACCTCTGAGCAGAGGGCAAGGCGCCACCTGAAGGAGCACTTGTAGCCACCTGATCTCCTGCCAGGACTCCAGGGGAAAAGACTTCTTAACAGGCTTCAGCTCCCGAAGGATTGTACAGCTACACAAGGGCAGTTTCATGTCTGACAACACTGAGCTGGGTTGGACCCGTTACCATGAGCAGGTCCGGGACTGCGTGCTGCCTCTGGACGGTGCTTCATCACCCTCCTTTTGGTGAAAAGTGCAATCACCACCTAAGCTGCTTCTCCAAACTCTGAACCATGGGGAGTGGGGGTTTAAGTCATGGGTGCCCAGAGGAGCTGTGGCTGCCCCATCCCTGGCAGTGTTCAAGGCCAGGCTGGACACAAGGGCTTGGAGCAAGCTGCTCTAGTGGAAGATGTCCCTGCCTGTGGCAGGGGTTGGAGCTGGAGGAGCTTTAAGGTCCTTTCCAACCCAAACGAGTCCATGGTTCTATGAATGTGCAACCTCTCTGCTTCAGAAATACTTTTTCACTTTGGATAGATGGAAGGGTCTTGTTCTGCTGCAGGATGATCAGCTTCTGGGAATGACTTTGCTGTGGAATTCTAGTGAGTACTGGGACTCACTGGGATGCGTGATGAGTTGCAGATGTGAGGTTGGGCCTCATATAATTTTAGATACAATATGGTTGTCTTGCACCACATCCCCATTTCTATTATAACACATAGTAGCTATTGTGTGATACTTATCTTCCATATATTAAAAAAAGTATGCACCAGAGCATTGCCTTTCTGGCAAGGAAGAGAGTGCCAGTAGCGAGGCTTCAGTGGAAAGTTCATTTTCCAAGCCGTGCTTTCTAAACCCATCTGGTTATTCCATTTATCAGAGAGATGCATTGGGAAATGCTGTAAAACTTGCCTGTAACGTGCTGCAGTAGCCTTTTGCAGGAGGTGTGGCAGCCGAACTGTCCCTGGGTCGTTGTCTGCCTGGAAGTTTAATTGCATTTATCACTGGTGCCTGGATAGGAGCTAAAGAGGGAGCAGTGGGAGGCGCTCCCCACGCTCCCCTTCCCAGCCCTCCTTGCAAGGCTCCTTCATAAACATTTTCCCCTTCTTTTGTCGGGAGCCTGACAGAATACACTTACTTTAAACTTCTTTCTGCTTCCATAGATGGACAGTTTTATGCCATACAGACAGTGCCTGCTGGGATTTTTATGGCCTATAGTTCTGTGAGCAAATGGTTTTGCTCACAAGTTGGCTGGGCTGAGATGACCTTCTCCTGTTCATTAACTGTCTGTTCAAAAATATGCCTGTGGTGGTAGCTACAGAGCCTTGATTGGGGTTATTTTAGGTGGTGCAGGGAGGTCTGGTCCTTTCCTTCCCTCCTCATTATCAAGCAAAAGTGACTGCTTAGGGCCTGGTTTATTTACCTAATAAACTGCCTCTTGTATCGTCTAGGAAATGCTCACATTTTTCAGCCAAGAAATCCTAGTAACAGGCAAACAGAGGTCCAGCAGTCAGGTCTGGAGAAACAACGAAATGAAGGTCAGTTAATATTGCTGTTATTCTCTTTCCCGGTGGCCATGACAGCAGGGGTGGTTTATTTGAAGATCCCAGACTCGGAGTCATTGCCTGCATTGTTGGTCCCCCGAGCGCTGGAGGCTGTGCCAACACTTGGGGATATTAATGTATTCTGCAGATCAGTGAATGAAGAATTCCTCCGCACTCCTTTCTTCCAAAAAAAAAGGAGAAAAAGAAAAAAAAATCCTCTTCTCTCCCTTCCCCCCTTCCTCCCCACACTTTGTTTGCAGTGGCTTTGTCTGCGGGATGTTGCTGGGCATTCCTAATGAGCAGGGGAGGAATTGTGATGGGGGCCGGGCCGGTGGGCACAGTTCCTGCTTCCAGTACCCACGGTGAAGCTGCTGTAGGGTGCTCAGGTGTGCGGCAGCTTTCGCCCTGGCAGAGTTTGGCCATGGAAATAGCCAAAGAGGGGAAGGAAAAGGCTCGTTTTGGGCCCGTGAAGCTCCCTGATTTGCTTCCTTCAAGGAGAAAGTTGTTCCCCGTCACCCCCCGCGCAGGACGCGATGCCTCAGTGCTTCTTTAGTATTCATCCCAGAGCCGTGGCCGCAGCCATCTCCCGCCTCACCCCGAGCAGCTGCTCAAAAGGACAAAATCAAAGCAATTCCTGCTCCTGGTGACTTACTGCCAGGGAATAACTGGGTTCTGTCTGAGAGGAACATAGAGCATCCCCGTCCCAGCGATGGAAAAAGCACAGGGTAGCTGGGGCTTGGTGGGACAAGTCTGCAGAGACTCTTGTGGGTTCAGTGGGAATAAAAGCTGGTTTCGTGAAGAGACACTTGTCCAGTAATAGTGCAGTGGATTGGGGAAAGGCGCCTGAGCAGTTTTTATATATTCTTGTTCCATAGCAGGAATTGTACTTAGATATTTTTTTAATACGTTCTTTGATCACTCATGGAAATGTTAATAAGACAAAAACTGCTAAAAAGCTCTCGAGACACTGCCCTGCTTTGCAGAAGGGTGGACTGAAACGCAGACCCTCTGGAGGGCTTCTGACGCACAAGCAGCCCCTTTGTTTCCTCCTCTATAACCCAGAGACATGTCTAAAATTGGAGGGAAGATGAGAGGAGGCTGAAGAGGCCGGGCTGGAATCACGGCATTCCCCATTTACAAGAGAAGAATCGCCCATCGGCTCTTCAGGCCGTGGTTTGATGGGCAGAGCAATGCCTGTGTTTGAAGTCCACACTGAAGGTACTCTCAGAATGGAAGTGGGATGCTTTTAGGCTGTCTTTCACTTTGACTTAATTAAGAAACTCGCAGGCTTTGTCTGGAGGGGGCCTGTTAACGTGTGAAGCTCCGGCCCCCCGTGAAGAGGGGCTGGGGCGGGAGGGGGGATGCACAGATACACTGCTTTTGTGTCGTGTTGCCAAACTGAAGACAGTAGCAAGTGCGAGCCGGGCACGGCAAGAGGTCGCCCCATGTGTGCGGCACTGAACCCTCCTCCTACTGCAAAAAGCCTTTCTCAGGGACGCAGGACCGACCAGCCGTCTGGTATGGGAAACAACAGCAACTCGTGGGGGGTAAGGAGGGTTTTGTATGTGTCCTGCAGCATCCTTCATTGGTCCTGATCCAGGGTCAGAGGTTACACCAAAAAAGGGCAAACGCTATTTCTTTAGTAGCTAATGCCTCTGTGTGTATTTACAAGGGGAGAAATATTAGCTTTGAAACATCATGGGCTGGCCAGATGACGAGCTGTTGGGGGGTGGCTTTAGCAGTGGGTGATGATAATGGAAATCACCTGAAGGAATTAAACCTACCCAAAGTGGTTTGAGTTCAGACTTAAACAGGTGAGATTTAGGTTAGATATAAGGAAGAAGTTGTTCCTTGTGAGGGTGCTGAGGCGCTGGCAACAGGGTGCCCAGAGAAGCTGTGGCTGCCCCATCCCTGGCAGTGTTCAAGGCCAGGTTGGACACAGGGACTTGGAGCAAGGTGATCTAGTGGAAGGTGTCCCTGCCCGTGCAGGGTGTTGGAACTGGGTGATCTCAATGTCTTTTCCAACCCAAACCATTCCATGATTCTATGAAAGTAATGGGCTTGTTTTCAAGTTTGCGGTGTAGCAAATGCGCCTGCTGTTGTCATCAGCTCCCTGTTTGCTCACAGTGGTTGCAAATAAATGCCACAGTCTTTTGTAGTATTCATGGTCTTCAGATCTCTTGATCATGTTGGTCAACACTGATTTGTTTTCCTTTTATCTGACAGCTAGAGAGAAAACTTCAATGCTGGCAGTGACAGGAGCAGTGAGCAGGCTGTTGTCAGGTCAGGCTCTCTGCTCTAGCGGAGTCAGCTGCAAAGGTTCAAAACTAAGGAGCAAAATGTGCTCATCTGAACCAGAAAATGCAGCGCTTCATTTCAGAAGTTTTGTGGGGTTTAGCAAGTGTCTGGTGAAGTGTTTCTTCCACTCTGTCTGAGGTGTGTCTTGAGGCGTTATGGTTAGCTGGGGCTACAGGCTCTACAGGCATCAACTCACAAAGACATGGTCTCAGCCTTTGGTCCCAGCCCAGTGGCCAAGGTGGCCTTTAGTGTGCATCTGGAGAAGCCTCATGTCTCTGCTTCCAAACTGAACTACTTGGTCTTCCTCATGTTGCTCTGTTCCTTTTTTAGAAGACTGGAAATTAACCCAGGGAGAAGCTTTGGTACCAGTTTGGGATGGGAGAGGAAGACAGTCAGGAGATGCAGAACCAGACAGTAGGTTATGATGGATGTTGAGACTAAGGAACTTTTTACACACATTGGAGGGCACCCAGCGAAGGCTGTCAGGGCTTGGCAGAGGCAGCTGGTGATGACAGGTTGCCAGCTGTGATTTGGGGGTGCTGTATGAGGCAGAACAGAATCGGGGTAGCCTTCTCTATCAGTAATTTCTATAAAGTTGTTTTAATTCCTCAGCTGAGGAGTTGCAGGATGGTGGCTTCAATTCAGATGTGACACACATCCTGTTAAGTGGTTCCCTACGCGTGGGTGATAACTGCTCCTATTGCCCCTTCCCTGTGCTCCAGCATGGGCAGGAGCAGGGTGAATTTTTACTTTCCACTGCCCCTTCCTTCTGGTTGCCCGTGAGGAAGGACAAGTGTTTTACACAACACGATTCTGTATCACCAGGGTTAGATTTTTAACGTAACAGGCACCTTTGTGTAACTCCCCTGTATCTTCAAGGAATTTGGGAAGTATGAACTCCAGAACGAGAGATTCCCAGCTTTATTGCTTCTCCCTGCCCTTGATGATTTTTATTTAGCACTGTAAGATTTCCAGCTCCTGCAGGGTTGGGTGGTTTCTAACTACTGCAGTGTTTAGAATGTCTTTGGGGATCCCAGCAGACAATGGTTTGTGTTTAGCTCTCGAGCATTAGCAAGGCAACAGTACTGCTAAAATGTTTGGGAAAAGTACCTTATTAGAGCCAAAGTGACTCATTCCTGCTGGAGAAGCGGCAGATGTTTTTCTGGCATTTAAATAAAATGCAAAAATACTGATCTCCCACCTTGATGTTGAAGTAAAGACTCAAAAGTGAGGGGAAAAAAGCCCAGTATTTAGGCCTTCTACAAAAACACTGGCAGTGCCAAATGATTCATACCGAGTGTTTTCCAGCATGTTTTCAGCATTATAAACATTGACATTTCCAACTTCCTGAGATGAGAGGATTTCATTTCTTCTTGTGAATTTTGCATTCTGTGCTTTCTGATTCAGAAACGCTGTAGCTGGGGTGGGTGTTTTGACAAGATACTCAAATCACTCGGGCGCTGGTCGAAGTTTGGTTGAAGCTGATCTCCGGTTTTTGTTAGAGCTTCAGGTCCCGCTGGGAGATTCGGAGAAGTGGGTTTTCAGACGTAGCAGTGCACCTCAGCCCTTTCCTGAAATTAAAATTCCTTGATTTCTGCTCATCTTTCCCAGTGTTGCTGCTTCTGCTTTACTGGTTACTTTGGCAATAGCAACATTATTAATATTGCTGTTGGATGTGTGGCTCCTTTGCCATGTCCTCTGTACAACTTCCTGCATAATTAAGTGGTTTATGCTTTTTTGCCATCACCTTTGGTATTTCAAAGATGCTCATTGCTTTGGTAGCTGAATGCGGTAATGCAAATGAATGCAGAGTAAGTTCTGTTCTCCTGTGTAGTTAGCTGCATTTAAGCATTCATATCATCTTTGTGCGTGCATATTAGTGGTTAATGGTCTATGAGAGAGGCTTTCTTGAAAAGGAATATCTTGAGTTCAGATCAGTCAGCCTTGCCCACTGACGAAAAGCTGTTCCTGTGCTTCACTGAGACTTTTCTACAGCTGGATCTGCTCTAGCCTGGACTAAATCCGTTGGCCTGCTGTAATGTGGAGCTACTCTGAAGGCTGTGGTGTACTCCATGCAGGAGGAGAGTCATGCTTTAGGTCTTCAAGTTGTGTTTGAAATGAAGAGTTGGTGCATTTGGAGGCTTGCTGTTACATGCTGTATAAGCCCTCTTGAGATCAGAAAGGGTAAATTCTGGTGCTTGGTAACCTCTGAGTTTTCTCTTGGGCTGTCCAGGCGCTTTGCTCCCATTGCAAAGGTGCAAGCTTTGCTTTGGCTGCCAAAGGAACCAAACACTAGAAACCATCTTCCAAGGAAGGAAGAGTTGAACTGATTTTCATTTGCTACTGCCTAAAAGGAAAGTCAATGGGTACTGATGGCTTGTTGGTGGTCATCTTTTGTCCTGCTGATTCTGGCAATAAGTAGATGGTTAAGTCATCAGATTGGGAACTGGGGAGTATTTAGATATTAAATGGCTTAATAGGCTGAGCTGGTTGTAGCCTGACTGATGTGGTAGTGCCCAAAAGGGAGGTGAGGCCTGCCCGTAGGTGGGCATTCAGGTATTTTTATGGGTTATGACTGAACAAGTTTTACAGTGTACAAGCTCCAGTCGCCTGCTTCCTTGCTTAATTTGGCAGGGTTTGCAGGAGAGCTGAGTGTGAGCTAAGGGCTAGTTTTGGCTCTGCTCTGCTCAGCGGCTGCTTTTAGTGGTGGTCTAGCTCACCTGATAGGATGTTGTCTCCATAACTCCAAGATAGTGGGGAGGACCGCATCTCCTTTTAAAGCCTTCATTCAGCATTAGTCAAGAAAGAAATGGGGCATCAGGAAGTCAGGAAAGGCATTACTTCTAGGCAGGCTTCTCATCACCGTGGACTTGTGTGACCACTTCTGCCTTCCCTGTAGTGTTTGTGCTCTTCTGCCAAGGTTCTTGGAAGGTGAGTCCTAAAAAAGACCGTGTGGCCCTAAGGAACGAAGGGAGGAACTGGGATTAATGTGGGGAATTGCTCTCCCTCACTGCCAGGCCAGTGCTGGCTTCATCCTGCAGTGGCTGACCTGTTTAAGTAGCTCCTTGCCGTATATATTGTCCTTTGTGGAAGAAGACAGTGCTCTTGTCCCCATTGGGGTGCCTGTCTGGAGCATCATCATTGTCCTCCTGCTCTTGGAGCGCCTCAGCTTGGAGATGCTAGAGGAATTTGAGTTAAGCAATTGGATTTCGGGGACATAATCCAGAATTTGTCGAGCTTTGATGATGGTAAGTTGTGAATTGCTTCACAGTGCCCTGCAAGGTCTGTCCTTCCCAGACTGCCCTGCAGAAGCGGCTGCTTGGGTGTTTCTTCTTGGTTCATGGACAAAGGCGAAGGCACATTCTCCCAGTGTCACCTGAGGTCAAGGCATGGATGCAGTGGGCAAGAGCAGCCCCTTGTCTCTGCTGTGCTTGTCACATGCAGTCCCAGATCAGGAAACCCCTTTGGCTGTTGGTCGTAGCTCGCTGCATGGAGCAGTACCAGGTCCAGACAGTGGGATCCTGCAGGTTGGGAGCATGGGGGAGGCAGGTGGGATGAGGATGACTGGAGAAGCTGTTCCTTTGGGAGCTGGTGTTCATTTACCCTCCGCTGCTGCAGGTTGGCAGGCACCCCGTTGGGGTTGGGAAGCTGGTGCATTAACAGGTGATGTTTATCTACTGATGTGTGGGCATGGCTGATGCTCAGGAGGTTGAGGCTTCCACACTGTGTAGAGTCTGCAGGTGGGCTCTTTTCCCTGTTAATTTGCTGAGATGTCTTGAACTGTCCTTTGCAGTGAAGGAATACATGTTAGTCTCTTTGGTGGCTTGGTAAACCCACCGTTATTCATGGTGATTCCCAAGTGTCCCCATCACCACTGTTAGATCCTTATTACTTCCCTT